TAACAAAAAGTCTTCATCCAACATCACAATGCAGAAAAACTGAAGAGGTTTCCAGCAAATCAGAACTAACACAGAAATGACTACTCTTGCATTTTACCCAATACGACAGTGTAGGAAAGAAAAAATCAAAAGACATCAGATTGGAAAGGAAATTTTTTAACTGTCTTTATTCAACAATGGCATCTAAAATACCAATAAAATCATTACATTCAAATAAAATTTTTATAGTAAAGAGACTGATGTATGAGTTTAGCAAAATGCAGGGGTTTAGATCAATATGCCAAAACTTAGGTACTTACTAGCAATTATCAAAAAAAAAAATTATAAATTTAATTTAGAAAACACCACAAAAAATACCACATACCAAAACACAAAGTAATGAAAAAATGTAAAATATTTGCCCATGAAAAACTACCAAATATCACTTGTAGAGGCTAAAACATATATAAATAAATTATATAATTTGTTGATAAGATGAAATACATGATTTTGCTAAGATGCTAAATTTTCCTAAATTGAACTATATACTCATGGCCCTATTACTCATAATCTTAACATGATGCTTTTATAGAAATGAGAAAGGTAACTTGAAAATCCATGTTAAATGGAAAAGACACAGAAAAGACAAATGATGCTAAGAGAGACCAAGGGCTGACACTGTAAAAATTAAAAAGCTAGTAACTAAGTGGTATATTAGCATAGACAGAAAAATGGGTCAGGGGCCTTTACTGTGGCACAGTGTGTTGAGCTGCCATGTATACTGCTGGCAAACCATATGAAGGCCAGCTGGAGTCCCATCTGCCCCACTTTAAATCCCATTCCATCATAACACACCTTAGAAGGTAATGGCCAAGTACTTGGGACCCCACCACCCACAGCAGAAACCAGGGTGGAGTTCCAGGTTCCCAAATTCAGTCTGGCCCTGTCTCAGCCATTTGGGTAGTAAACTAGAAGATGGAAGATCTTTCTCTGGTTCTTCCTCTCTCTCTGTAACTCTGACTTTCCAAATAAAATAACATATTTATATTTATATAATAATAATATATTTTTAAAGGCAAATGAAAATGCAGAACAAATGTTACATTAATCACTTTAAGAATGACAATTATCAGTTGCCATACACCGTTCAGATTCTGTGACACCCAAGGCAGCAAAGAGGAAAACAGGAAGTGTGTAAACACAGGTCACCACACTCCATCAAGGAATGCAGAATATGAGAAATCATTCATCATCCTGAAGATATTAGCTTCTGTCCACAGTTCCTCAAATCTTGGTGCATTTCTCAACTTTAAAAATATCCCCATATCTGGACTTCCTTCAAGACAAATTAAATTTCTTGGAGGAATATTCAACCATAAGTGTTTTTTTAGGTCTAATTATTTTATTTTGTTTGGTTTTTTTTTTTTTTTTTTTTTAGATTTTTCTTTTTTTTATTGCAAAGTCAGATATACAGAGAGGAGGAGAGACAAAGAGGAAGATTTTCCGTCTGATGATTCACTCCCCAAGTGAGCAGAACGGCCAGTGCTGTGCCGATCCAGAGCCAGGAGCCAGGAACTTCCTTCAGATGTCCCACACAGGTGCAGGGTCCTTAGGCTCTGGGCTGTCCTCGACTGCCCTCCCAAGCCACAAGCAAGAAGCTAGATGGGAAGTGGAGCTGCCAGGATTAGAATCAGCGCCCATATGGGATCCCAGCGCGTTCAAGGCAAGGACTTAAGCCGCTAGGCCACCACGCCGGGCCCATAATTATTTTTATTTTGAAAGGCAGATTTGCAGGAAGAAGAGACAGAAAGAAAGATCTATCTGCTAATTCACCCCAATAGGCTGCAACAAATGAACCTGGTGCAGATCCAAAGCCAGGAGCCCCTTCCAGGTGTCCCAAGTGGGTGTGCAGGTCCCAAGGCTTTGGACCATCCTCAACTGCACTCTCGGGTCACAAGCAGGGAGCTGGATGGGAACTGGAGCAGCCAGGACAAACTGGCACCCATAAGGGATGCTAGCACTTAGTCAACTGAGCCACCACATCAGTTCCAAGGCTTAAGTATTTTTTAAAGTTTCATGGTGATTCTGATACACACTCAATATGAGACTTACTACTACGAGCTTATTGGGAGCAGGCAATGGAGGAGCAGGGCTTATATAAGCGTGAGGTTTTGCGTAAGTGCACACCTGAGAATCCCATAATTATAATTAATTAATGTTCCAAGAAAATTACTGAGCACTGACTAGGTTTAAATTTTTCTTACAATAGATTATCATATATTTCATTAAAATACATTTTTGTCTCACTTAAAGCCTCTGAAAGATACGCACTTTTTTCCACTAAAGGAATCCAGACTTAGATGTTAGATATTAGTCATTAATTAATATTACTTAACTATAACTATGTTTCTAGTACTCACTCTTTTAGAGTGAGCTACAGGTTAAATGGAGTACTCTATGACCAAAGTACTCAGAATACAAGTGGACAAAAGGCATCTTCAAATCTCTGCAAAACCCAAGGAAATCCTGGGACTGTCTAGGGATAAGCAATATCTGTAAGATCTACTGGAGTCCACTTTCACTGCAACAAACCTATTCAGCCATTGAAGCCTGGGCAGTGAGAAGACACAGACACCACGTTAGTTCACAAGGTCCTCCAAAACTCACAAAGGCTTCCCAAAGCATTCTAATGAAATGAAAATCCTCCTGGACTAATCCAGAATGCTTCCAGGCAATCCAGCCTTCCTTTGCCAAACAGGGTAGCATCACAGAGAAATCTAACTCTTCCTCCTAAGATTCATGCCAACAATGCTCTACCAGAATCTAAATATGTATGAGCCTTCAGGAGGCACTGGGCTGACTCTAATTGCCCTACCTAAAATACCAGAGCCAGCAGCAAGCAGCTGGTACAGCAGATAGGTTACAGCTTAGGAAGTGAGAGCCTGAGTCCCAGTTTTGCTCCCTGCTAACACAGTCTCTGGAAAGCAGGAGGTTACGCCTCAGGCAGCTGAAGGCCAGCCATATGGGAAACCTAGACCGAGTTCTGGGCTCCTGATTTCCATCTAAGGGACATCTTGGTGTATCTCTCTATTTCTGTGCCTTTCAAATAGTTAATTATCAGTTCAATATATCAAAGTCAGAAAGTCCCGGACCACAAGGTTTCTATTCCTAATGATTAGAACTTATTTCAGAGATATACAGTGCTTCTCCAAGGAAATAAAAATTCACAGAACTCTCCAGAATTGGAACTCTTTCAATGAGTCTTAGAAATACATGCTTTCTCTTGCTTATAATTTATAGTTTAGGCCAAAACCTTAAAAGCAAAAAATGAAACAATATTTCTTCAACAGAAAAAGCAACAGAAAAAAATCTATTCTTCTAACATACATATCTATTTCTTCCAAGTATATCCTAGTGTTCAGATTTCTATTTATTCTTGACTATACAGTGTTATAATTTTAGTCTACAGAATAATATCAAGAAAATTTTAAAGGAAGAACCACTAATAATCTAAAATAACCAAAATTCTCACTGCCAATGCAGCATTCTTCTTCAATAGTAATGATTTGATACATTCTCATAAATAAAGAAAATGTTATCAAAACAGAATAAAGTGGAATCTCCAACCAAATTATTGTAATGGAGGCATACTACTAAAACACACTTTTAAGAATAGAAAAAGAGCAATAAAATCAAAATTTTTTCTTAAAGCTATCTTCCACTAACAGATTTGGAACAATAAAAAAAGACTAATTGAACAATGTACTTGCTTCACATGAAAATTTTCCATGTGTAGATTTTAATACATTCCTAAAAAATAAATTTTATTATTTTTCAAGTGAAACATTTAATATTTATCTATCCCCTTCAAAGCAGAAATAAGCAAACTTTCTTTTTGACTTTTAGAAAAGTTCATTCATTGATATTTCCACACAGAAGGAACTCAATTTTTCATCCATTCATTTAACAAATACTGAGTGACTACCATGTGCCCCCTTCTAGATCTAGAAACATAGCAATACACTAAAATAAAGCACTGCCCTCACACAGTGATGTTACAATTTAAGGAGATAATCAATAAATTGAAAAAAAAAAAAAGGCATGTGCTTGACAGGTCAGGTACTCAGAAATGTCTACTGGATTGTCAAGTAGCAATAATTAGCAAACAGATGCAAAATTGCAAAGGAAAGGGCTTTGAGCTGGAGACCCACTTGAGCACTGTCAGCATACAGGTGTTGGCTACAAAATCAGACTGTATAAAATTACTAAGGCAGTAAAGCAAGAGTGAGAAGGGCCAGTATTATGATACAACAGGTTAAGCTAATGCTTATGACACCAGCATTCTACATTGCAGTGCTGTTTCTGGCTGTTCCACTTCTGATCCAACTGCCTGGGAATGCAGTGGATATGGTCCAAGCACTTGGAACTCTGCCACCCATGTGGGAAATACAAGACAGAATTGCTAACTCCTAGTTTCAGCCTGGCCCAGACCTGGCTGTCACAGCCATGTGGGGAGTGACAGCAGAAAGAGGATGTGTGAGTGCCTCTCTCTCTTTCTCTCTCTTCCCATTTCACCCTCTCTCCACTGTGCAAATTATTAAGTAAATAATTAAGTAAACAAATGTATCTTTACAAAAAAGAGAAAATGAGAAGTCCATGATCTGAACACTGTGATCCTACAGTATTAAAAAGGCTAGGAGCCGGCACCATTGTGCTGTAGTCTAAGCCTCTGCCTATGACACCGACATCTTATAGGAACACCAGTTCAAGTCCCAGCTGCTTCATTTCCACTCCAGTGCCCTGCGTATGACCTGGGAAAACCAAGCTCCTGGCTCCTGGCTTCAGTTCAGATCAGCCCCAGTCACTGCAGCCATTTGGGGAGTAAGCCAGCAGACAGAACACCTCTGTGTCTCCTTCTCTCTGTAATTCTGCCTTTCAAATAATATATATATATATATTAAAAAAAATAAGTTTCTCCTTCACTCTGCCATCATGGTGAGTGTCCCCAAGTCTTCCTTGCCATGTCTTCTCACAAGACCTTCAGCATTAAGAAATTCCTGGCCAAAAAACAAAAACAAAATCATCCCATCCCCCAAAAGGTTCAAATGAAGATTGGTAATAAGATCAGGTATAACTCCAAGAGGAGACAATGGAGAAGAACCAAGCTGGGTCTGTGAGAAACTGCACTTCAACATATGGAACACATATTCTGTGCTGTATCAATGTCACTGTCTTCTTGACAATATCAAGCTGAAGATACCACCATCGTCTGGACAGCCAGACAGGTTTGACTGGGGCTGTGGCTAGTAGATTGGTCCAGTAATAAATATCTGAGGCCTTCTGAAATAAATAATAAAAGAAAAGGCCTGAGAGACTAAGAGAAAGAAAAAAATCAAAGAAAAATTTGAAATGTGGACAGATCACTTAAAAGTAGACATCACAGTGTCCTATACCAAATGCAGCTGACCAGCCAAGTCACATTAGAACTGGAAAGTGAATGAGACATGTATAAGGAAGTCACTGTGATGCTCCATTTGACTAGTATTGAATGATAAGAATGGTGAGAATAAAATCTTGACCAGATAGAGCTAGTATGCACAACTGTTTCAAGTGGTTTCGGTATATAGGAAGAGAGAAACAAAGTTACAACTGCAGGAAAAAGTGGAGTCAAGAAATCTTTTATCAAGTTGAAAAAATAGTATAACCACATGCTGATGGGAATGATCTGCTGAAAGGGAAATCAATGGCACAGAAGAGAAAATGGAATGGGGGAGGGAAGGCAGGAAAAACAAAACTGGAGAAATGGCCCTGAGCAGGTGAAATGAATTGGCCTCTATAGGCAGTTCCCTCTAATTTAGAAAGGAAATGGCTGGCTCTGTGGTACAGTGGATTATGCAGCAGCCTGTAGCACCAGAATTCCATATGAGTGTCAATTTGAGTTCCTGCTGCTCCACTTCCAATCCAGTTCCCTGCTAATGCGCCTGAGAAGACAGCAGATGACAGTCAAGGTGCTTAGACCACTGACACCCATGTGAGAATCCTGGGCTCCTGGCTTCAGCCTGGCCCAGGCCTACTCATAGATAGAGATAGAGATAGAGATAGAGATAGAGATAGAGATAGAGATAGAGATAGAGATAGAGATAGAGATAGAGATAGAGATAGAGATAGAGATAGAGATAGAGATAGAGATAGAGATAGAGATAGAGATAGAGATAGAGAGATAAAGAGAGAGATAGAGATAGAGAGAGATAGAGATATAGAGATATAGATATAGATAGATAAAGAGAGATAGAGAGAGATAGAGATATATAGAGATATAGAGATAGACATAGATATAGATATCTATATATGTATAAAACTGTTTCTGAAACATATTTTTGAAAGAAAGAAAGGAAGGAAAGAAAAAAGGTAGAGTTCAGAGTTGGTGTAAGGATTTTGTCAAGCAAGTATTTCTAACCAATAGAGGAAAGAGAACTGAGGGAACCTATATGTAAATCATACAGAATTTAGGTTGGGTAAAAAGTTTATGAGGGCTGGGAAAAAACAGAGATCAGTTACAAGGTGATATAATCAATGGATCTGCAGTACAGAGGCACTGTTGAAGTCAAACTGCTACAGTGAATGATGTGAAAGTTAGGAGTAAGTGTCAGCAAGAGATGAACATTTGAAATGAAATCATGAAGCAAGGGTCTTGGAGTCACCAGTAATGGGAAGTTTCAGAATGTGCTTACAAGAATAACTAGCTAAAGGAGAAGTTCAAGGAACTGAAATGTTCACCTATGTAGATATTGAAATCACCAAACATGAAAATGTGAGGAATGTTAAAGACAGTGAAAGTGAGCTGAGCTACGTGATGAATTTACCCAGAGGTGAGCAAATGACCACCATGAGGAATCAGGGTGATAACATCAAAGGATGTTATCTGGAGGATTATCTCAAGCAGGAAAGTTTAGAACTGTTAATGAGAAGCAGAGAAAGACAGAAACTACAGGAACCAGCAAACACAGGAGTGAAAAACCTATCTATAAATAAGCTGAATCCTGCACAAAAGTAATAGCAACATGTATCACTTTACCACAATATAGAACGGCTGCAACTGGAGACCAAGTAGAGGATCAGAGAGTTTCATAGAAGTTAGATAGGATGTGTGAGGCAAGTGATCAAAAATGAGCAAAGGCAAAAAGATTTTCAAAGCAGAAAGACACTACAAACTGGGCAGACAGATATGAAAAGAACAAAAAACATCTGAAAAATGAAACCAGCTAACAATCATTAGATACAGAATAGGTATGAAATAAAATCAGGATACATGTAGAACAAGGTAACAACTATTTTATTTGCTAGCATAAGAACAGACAGAATGAGCAAATTTAATCATTGTCGACAAACTCTTCATAAATGATTCTAATAGGGAACAAAATTTTCTTACATTGAGGAAAATACTGGAAAACAAATTTCTCAGTAACCAACTGCTTTATGAATATTAATCAACTGTTAGATAATTACTTCTATATTACACACATAAAAAATATGACTAGCATAATTTCCAATATCCACTATTTAAAATGTGTCAGGGAAAAATATGCACAACTGATACTTAAACATAGCTTTAAAATTAACTGCAATATAGGTTTCTTTGTAGCATGTATCTTGTAGGAGGGAAGTGGGGGAGAGTAAGGGGTAAGACAGAGTAGAGAGAGGAGAAAGAGAAAGGAGACTTGAGAGATGGGAGAGGGAAGAGTAGGATATAGAGAGAAAGAACTCCCATCTATTGCAGTGGCTGGGGCTGAGCCAGGCTAAAGCCTAAGAACTTAATACAGGTCTTCCAACATGTAGGACTGGAGCTCAACCACATGAACCACTATCAGTGCCTACCACACACTGCCCATCCTTTTGAGCAGTCAAAAGGCAGAGCTGAACATTAAACTCAGAGCTGATACACTGAGGGGAAATTGGCTTTATTATAGATGTTAACTCTGGACTGCACCAGGAGAAACAGCACAACCTGGACAGTGCTCAGGGATGTGATGTTGGAGAGCTACAGGGGCCTGCTGTTCATGGCTCCAGCATTGAGACCAGCATTGCAATGTGGCAAGCAAAGAAGCCTCCTACAACACTAGCATTCCATATGAGTACCTGTCACAGTCCTGGCTGCTCCACTTCCCATCCAGCTCCTCACGGTGTGCTTGGGAAGGCAGGGTAAAATAGCTCAGGTGCCTGGGCTACTGCAGCCATATGGGAGACCTGGATGAGGCTCTTGGCTCCTGGCACTATTATGGCCCAGCCCTAGCCAGTGAAGCATTTGGAGAATGAACCAGCAAATTAAAAATGTCTCTCTCTGTTTCAAATGAATTTAATTGTATGTTTTTAAAATTTTAAATATTTTCAACTGAAAAAAACAATAAACATAAATCACTTTTCCATTTAAAAGAATTTTATAAGCAATGCATAGATAACAACAATACTGATACATATAGCTTCTACAAATTTAGAATTAATTATGAATTAATTATGAATCTTAGACTTAAACATAATATTGGAAAAAATGTCTTAATAGATAACTGTTGGAATATTTGCTGTTTAATGCAAGAGCACTGTGACTAGGAGCCAAATAACGTATATTTAAGTGCTGGCACTGGCACTTATGAAGTGTTAAGTCATTTAACTTCTCTGTGCCTGCATTTTTTAATTTACAAAGTAGAAATGAAATACCTACATCTCATATGGTTTTAAGTTTTTCTTAGCATTACTACATATGAAAAAGCTTCATAAATCATAATAACCAATAAATTTTTATAGACATCAAAATATTAACACAGAGCTAAAAACCTTCAGGTTATCCACCACCCCCATTCCATAACAAAGCACAATGAACACCTGAGATGATAAGCGACAGTTTGATAAGTATGTCTCACCACCTCTCTTCATAACCTTACCTTCGAATGAGCAGGCCCGCTTTCATTCAGAAGCTTATACTGGGGTTGGACTCTATTGAAACGGGCTAACTCATTTACCAGACACATTGGAGTTTTCTCTTTGGGGTTTGCCATTTTATCTTGGAGAGAAGCTGTAAATAAAAAGGCTGTAAAGTTTTTGTGAAGAATCACTTTCAAAATGGAAGAAAAACTAGTTTTGACTTTTTAAGATGTAGTTAGATTATATATTTGGATTAAATTATTTTTATGACTTTTTTGAGAATTCATTTCATCTAATGACTTCCATTACATGCAACGAGATATGTATCACATTTTAAACAATAAATCCAGGTATTCTTTTTCCTAATTATCTAAGCTGCTCTCTACACATTCAGACATTATAATTACAGACTTAAAATAAGACTACAACTTTTAATTTCTTGTAAATTTTCCTTCCCCCTAAAAATTTTAGCCATAGGCACATGAATCTCTTAATTCTTGTCAGTATAAAGTTAACCTATCTTCCTTTTTTATTCTTCTATCTTGACATTTTCATTCTCATTGTAACAAGGCAACTTAGTCCAAAAAAGCTGTATACTTGAGAATCAAATCTTAAGTACCAGCTTTTACAAACTAACATTTTGGGTAACTCTAGATAAATTGAAAATACTTCTCTTTTTGCTTTGTTTAAAAAAAAAAGACTGAAAGTAAGTAGAAAGAGTTAACTCAACAAATGCCCCAAACCTAACACTCAGAAGTGGAACTAACATCTCCTATGCTTGTGTTTACTCTCAGTTTGAAAACAAACTAGGAAAAAAACAATACTTATATTGCATGCAAGTTAGGTTCCCTCTATCTCTTTCATAGACAACCACTACATGAATTCAGAATATAGCTTTCTAGGACATTTTTACATACATTTATATACATATGCAACATTCACAAAAAAATGCACAAGATTTGATATGTGGGATCTTTTCACATAAAGAATATTATAATAAACACTCTCTTCACAAGTTACTTTCACTCTTCATTACATTTTTTAAAGATTTGCTTTAACTTCCATCCACCTGATGCATCGCTTCTAGTTGCTATAACATTTCCATCACACTATCAGAGCAGTTTCTTTATATCTATTCATCTGTTGAAGCATTTTGATTCCATGCAATCCTTCACCCTCACAAGTAAGAATGTGCTGCCAAACAGCTCTCAAAATGATTGCCCAAACTACCTTCCCCCAGCACCCTGGAAATTACCACACC